AAAAAGACTGTAATTTAGCATATTTAACTTACTTTTGGGACTTGATATCAAGTAATTTTATCTTAAATTCAGCTTTTTAAAGCTTATTTTAACCCTCTTCAATTCTCAAATGTGTTCTTTTATTTCTGGATTAAAAAATCTTATTTCAAGATTTCTTATTAAGTAAAATAAACTTGCTGCAGGGACAGATAATTTCACTTGTTTTCAGTGCTTTCTGTATCAAATGTAGTATTTTTTTCCTAAATATAGACTAGCCATTTTTTGCAGCTGCAGCTGCAATCTTCTTCATGTCATGGTCCCCATGTCTCGCCGGCTGACTCTGTGTCAGGCGACGTTTTTGTTTTTGTCTCTCTCTCTGTCTCTCCCTTTCGCCGTGGCGACATTCATCGCGGGCTCCCGCTGCTGGCCCATGCACCTGCTCTCATCACCACACCCTTTGCTGATTCCAGCAGATTGCGACACTTAAGGTCGCGGACCTACACTAGTCTTTGCTGGAGCGTTGAGCTATCAGCATCAGTCAACCTGCGAATCTGTGAGTTTTGTGACTTTCTGCTAACCGTATTTTTCTGCGTGTGTGGATCATTCCTGAACATGTTTGGCATTGTATTGGACGAACAAGAGGAGCGGCTGAGGAGAGGAATTAGATTTCTGCCAAGAAAGAGTGGAACACTTCTTCCCTATCCCTGTTTCCCTACGGACCCTGGATACCCGGACCCCTTTCCCTTGACACTTAGTGCATTTATTTACAGTGTACAGTCTTTTGCCCAAAGGAATACCTGGTCTGCTCTTGAGTCAGTTTAAAGAACCTTGCCACTTCATGTGTGGCTTTGCTCTCTAACTGATCAGCTTTGTGGTGAAATGACTGACTGTTCATCAGCAACAGTCTTCCTCTGACAACTGATGAGTCATCAGTAGCTGATTTTTTTTTTAATTTTTTTTTTTTGATTGGCTGTTGGAGGATTTTTTTTTTTTTACATTTTGCTTTCTCTTTTGTTACAAGAATTGGCGACGGCATGTGATCAACCAACACACACACACACACACACACGCGCGCGCAGCAGTAAGAGTTCCTTGTATTGTGTTATACTTCCCAGCACATGTCAGAAGGAAATTCAGTTAAATTTTATTTACATAGTTCCAAATCAAAATCACATGTTTTGTGCTTGATTAGCTCTGATTGTTTCTGACAGTTTCTGGTTTCAGTTCTACTCTTCACTCAGCAGCTTCAGAGGTTGTTTTGGACACTTCATCAGTGTAGAAGTGTACAGTCAGCAGGTTTGGATTACTTTAAATCATCCAAAATAGCTCAGTACTGACCAAACCATGGTCATAAGATAAAAGCAGAACTGTAACAGTTCTTTGAAACACATCCTCTCTCTGCTGAACTGAAATAAAATAGAACAATTAGAAAACAATGAAACCATCAGAGGTCAGCTGTGAGAGTCATCAACAGCTGCAGAGCCTGTTCAAGTCATCACTGGACAACAAGTGGGATACACCTGTTCAGGTCTCGAGATCTATCACAGGGCTACACTGGACTAAAGGATTGGTGTTTTAACCACAATGTATCATAATGAAAAGGGTTAAATTACAGAAGACTGGAAGGTGTTCACTGTGGAATCTGGTGGAAAAGGGTATTTAAAAGAAGTGAGATTAGGACATAAAATAAGATCAATATATGACACTTCACAAGCAGCTTCATCACAGAGTCAAATTTACTGAATAAAGAAGGCAAACTGAGCAATATGAACAGAGGAAGATAGCATCTCTCCACAGTCTGAGGGGGTTCAGGAAGAAAAGCCAGAATACTGAGGAACCCAGTTTCCTCCCATTTTTCTTGTGTGTGGCCTTTTTCTGCCTTTATTTAATAGATGCAGTGAATAATCAACAGGAAAGCAGGGAGAGAGAGAGAGGGGAAGACACGGCAAAGGGCCATGGCTCAGATTCAAACCTGGACCAGCTGCTCTTAACCATACTGCATATGGTTGCCTGTTCTGAGGTAAACCAGCACCCTATACCCAAATTTAATTTCACATGATCATGGAATATAACAGAATAAAATAGAACAGGCTTTTGATTGTTATTTAGAACCTATAGTAGTTATTGGACATCAGAATGAGATTTTGGTGAATTTACTGGCCATTTACACCCTCCCGTTCCCAAACAGGGCTTGGTTGCTCTGAATCCCCCACCCTCCTCTCAAGCTCCCATTCCATACATAACTGTGACAGAGGTCACAACTGGAGAGACTACATGCAGGCAAAGCTGCAGGCCCTGAACGCATCAGTCTCAGGGTCCTCAATTCGATCCGGCAGCGTCTCCTCAGTTTGAGTCTGCTGCAGGAAAAGGTACCAATGCTAGAGAAGACATTGTGTTTAGAGCTGGTACCAAAGAAACCCACGCCTTTTGGCCTTAATGACTTCAGATCAGTTCTCTATACGTCACATGTCATGAAGGTGCTGGAGGGACTGGTTCTTACCCGGCTTAGCTTGCAGGAAACCTGCTCTCAACACTCTTCAGCTTGCTTACCATCCCCTTGTGGAGGTGGATGATATTGTTTTCTACCTGTTGCTTTGATTTTTTCCATCCAACCACTTCTGCTGAGTGAGAGCTGCTCAGGATTGTCTAACCATGTCTGCTGTCTCCTTTCTTTCTTACCCTGAACACAGGAGGGTAAATTAAAGGACATATAAATATAAATATTCATTCCACATCACATCTCTTTGTCACTTTGAATTCAGTTACAATATTGGACCATTATTACTGATTTATTAAAATGTGACAGCCTCATTTTCAGCTGATACGTGATGTGTTATCAAAGGACTTAGTTACTTTCTGGCTCTATTTAAAGCAGTTTAAAGTGAATGGTCACAGCGTCAGCAGCAGGTGGAGGATAGCTGGGAAAAATCAAATTATGCTGTATGTCAAGAAATGCTGATTTATGTAAAGTCATGATAATAATAGAACAAGTTATAAAAGTGAAAGTGGGAAGGTGATATCCAAACAGATAAAACGGAACATGTTTAAATTTGACAGAGTGACGTTATTTAAGATGTGTCTGATATTGGAAACAATTTAAATAAATATTTTCAAAATAAATGAAATAATATTTCACCAGATCTTTTCTAAATGTTAGAACAAACAGTGAATAATTTCCTTTAAACAGTTTGTTTTATTTTGAAAATTCCGAAACTGAAAACTGATCAGGATGAAGTTTCTTTTGAAGAAACTTTATAAATATGTATCATTAATTTGAGCTGAGTTTGATCCAGCTCACCTGCTGTGTGTCTCTGCCTGGACACTGATGACATCATGAGCTGTGAGCTCTGTGATTGGCTGTGAGTGTGTTAGAGCTCAGCTGCTGCTGCACTTTCAGTCACTTTCACTTACACACACTGTGAGGTTCACACACACAGAGTTTAACTGTCAGAGAGCTGCTGATGAAGATGAAGGAGCTGCTCCTCTTCCTCTCCTGTGTCCTCTGTGTCTCTGCTGACGGTGAGTTTGTCTCTGTAAACTGTCAGACAGTGACAGCAGAGTATCAATCAGGTTATTGATCATCTTATTGTGTGTTGTGTGTTTCAGGTCAACATGAGGACATTAATATCATTGGCTGTTCAGCCTCTGATGGGGAGGACATGTCAGGACTGGATGGTGAAGAACTTGCCTACGCAGACTTCACCAAACAGACGTATATCTACCCTCAGCCTCCTTTTATTGATCCTATCAGGTATGGGGAAGGAGTTTATGAAAATGCTCTGGCTGGGCAACAGAACTGCAAACAGAACCTACAGACCTGTAATACAGCGATGAAGGGCTTCCCTCTAGAACACGGTAAATACAAACATTTACTTATTGTGTCACCTGACCTCTGTTTACCTGTACACACTGTAGGAAATAAAGAACCATTTGATGAGCTCATTAACATAAAATATGAACGCAGATATAAGAATATACGAGCACACAGATCTGTCAGTTCAATCCAAACTACAATAACTCAGAAACCTTTAAACTGCTTTAAACGGCTAAAATATGGAACAATTCAACCTTAAATACATGCAGAATTTTGTTTTTACAGAGTTTGTATAAGTGACATATTTAATAAGTATTTGCTTTGAGTTTTATATTAGATATCCATCACTAAACTGTCAATCACTCTTATTTTTAATTGTTTCCTGAGTAGTTTCACTGAAGCTCAACTATATTTTATTCTTAGGTAGTTTTTCAGGAATCTAACTTCATTAAAGTGAAGCTGTTTGTGTTAAAACTGCTTTCGCACATACTGGTTGCATCATCTGAACAACATTTGACATCCAGATATGATTAACTACTGTAACCTGCTCTGTAACTGAAGCTGTTGGGCCCAATCAGACTGAGAACTGAGACACAAAGTTAAGACTCCTCTCAGAGGAAGGTGATTAATCACAGCGTACTTCATGACTTTAAAACCTGTGCTGGTGATAGGTGAGGTGAAGTAACACTTTAGTTTGGTATGAACTTCAGAGAGGAAACATTATTATGGATATGAATGTTTTTTATTATTTGTTTCCAGTTATTCTTGTTTTATTTGCACTGTAATTCACCTTATTATCAAATGATGTTAAATTTTGTCATCATTGCAGCTCACAGACTGTTTTTCCTGTTTCAACATTATTTACAGAGTAATCCACACTCTGACAGAATGAGAAACAGTCCAGTTGTTGTCCTGTCTCCATGCTGTTAGTGTGTTACTGATCGTCCTCTGCCTGATGTGTTTGTGCACAGATGCTCCTTCAGGTGTGATGATCTACACCAGAGATGAGGTGGAGTTTGGAGTCCTGAACACTCTGATCTGTCACGTGACTGGTTTCTATCCTGCTCCTGTCAACATCTCCTGGACCAAGAACGGACAGAAGGTCACTGAAGAATCCAAAATCAACGTTCCCTATCCCAATAAGGATTGGACCTTCACCCAGATCTCCAGACTGGACTTCACCCCACAGCTGGGAGACGTGTACAGCTGTGCAGTGGAACATGTGACCCTGACAAAACCAGTGACCAAGATCTATGGTGAGAAAACTTTATTTAAACACAGAACACTGACAGAAACATAGCTGATTAGAAATAACTATCTCCAGATGTTGAGGTTCATGTCTCTCTGTGTGTTTGTCTCCAGATGTGCAGGCGTCTGGTCAGTCTGATCCAGGTGTTGGACCCTCTGTGTTCTGTGGAGTGGGTCTAACTGTGGGTCTGTTTGGTGTGGCCGCTGGGACCTTCTTCCTCATCAAAGGAAACGAGTGCAGCTGATTGGCTCACAGTGATGATGTCATTATAGTTATATCATGAGCTCCTAATCAGTGTGGCTGTCCTGAAGTGGTTACTGTTTGCTGTGTCTGAGTGTGCTGAGAGTTCACCTGTTAATGAACATCAGGCTGCTTCCTCTGTTTTGCCTGCTTCCTGTTTACCTGGATCATCTGACCTGCTTTAATGTCTCAGTTTCAGTTTGAAATTCAAACTAAAAGCAAACAACAAGAATGAAATGAGTTTTTATTGACTTCAGACCCAGGTGATCTCAGTTTGTAAATAAACCAGCTGACCACAGTAAATCCTGATGTGTTTCAGATTTTCATATATCAATAAACAACCTCTCACTAATAAAACCACAAATCTGTGTTTGTTCTTGTCTGATCTTCCTAAATGTTCACTGGATCCATGTCAGACTCTGGGATTCTGGGACCTGAGTTTAACACATCTCTCGGTCCTGTTTCCTGTTTACCACTGATGTTACTTCTTTGGTCATAAATGATGTTAGAGATGATTCAGAGACGTGCTTTTAACTGAACCCTGGGTGACTCTGCTGCCTCTGTCACTCCAACAGAGGAAGTTTAACCTTTTTTTAGTGAGAGCGAGAGAGAGGTGGAGGACTAAGCTCTCAGATGTTTTATTGTTGTTGTTGTTGTTGTTTTTAAATCAGGGATCTAATTAGGTAATTTATACTGAGGATGTTGATACCATTGTTTTTAATTCAGTCTGATAAATTAGTTTAAAATGCTGATTTGGCTTTGCTGCAGCCTCCTCCCTGCACTCTGAGGCCTGCCCACAGAGCTCTCTGATTGGTTACACATAAAATGCCAATCAGCAGAACATACAGACTGAAGCAGCTACAACTGTCCAAGCTGTACTTTGAAGATGATATGATAACAAGATAACTGAGATTAGCATGAGTCTAATAACGAACCAAACAATAATTAATGCACAAGGAATAAGAAATATCTGCTCAGTGACCTGAATGTTTCTTTTTCTTGCTCTCTGACAGAGTTTCATGGTACTGTGGATTCTCTGGTACGGTGGTTCCTTTTTAAGAACGTTAAACCTCTTTATAATTTACTATCAATAAAACCATAAATAACCAGAGGAGAGTCATGTGATACTCTGATGTTGCTGATTTATTGAACTATGAGTCCACACCATTACTTCTCAACAGATTTATCCACACAGAGTCACTTTTACATGGAACAGAACAGGTGTGTATATGTGTTCACTGACACTATTACAAGTTCAGATATTAACTTAACTGATTATTACCACAGTATTAGCATCAGAGTTTACTGTATTTGGTTTAAACTGTACTTTACCTGCTGGCTGCAGCAGCCTGCTGATCTCTGCTTTTAAAGCTTTAATATCCTCTGCCTTTAATGCAACCTCAATAATGTGAATCAAAACAACTCTCTCACACACACAGAGTATTTCTTCTCTCTGATCATGAAGAGTGTGAGCTGTGAGCCACTGTCAGATTGTTCTTCCTGGTAACAGCTGACGCTGTGGTCATGTGACCTGTCCTCTGTTTTTAGAGCAGCTCTCAATTCAGACTGAGTCAGTTTGTCAGGAGACTTCAGGAACATGGCTTCATCCTTCCTCTGCCTCAGCCTCCTCTTCATCAGCCTCAGCACAGCAGGTACCATCAATACACTCATCAATACACTGATCACTATACCTATCAATACATGGATCACTTATCAATACACAGTCCACAGTCTGAGGTTCTCTGTGTTTCTGTTTTGTTCTTAGGTGGATTCATGTATTATGATTTGATTCGCTGTGTGTTTAACTCCACTGAGGTGAAGGACTTTGAGTATGTCAGATCTTGGTATTGTAACAAGTTGGAGATCATCAGGTTCGACAGCAGCGTGGGGAAGTTTGTTGGATACACTGAGCTGGGAGTGAAGAACGCAGAGCGACTAAACAAAGATCAGGGACAGCTGGCTGCATTTAGATCTCAGAAGGAGGTGTACTGCAAACACAACATTGGTGTCTGGTACAGCAACATTCTGTCTAAATCAGGTGAGTGTGCTGGTCTGTGTGACATCATCATTTTCATCATGGTCAGCTTCACACTGACCAACACTCTGAATCACAGAGTTCTCTCTGTCACAGCTAAAAGTTTACATTTAAAGTACTGCACTTCTGTTTCTTTAAACCTCAGATAGAGGCTTATTATTTAATTCACAGTTTCTCTTTATTCACTGATTTCAGCGATGATTTCTGTGTTTAAATAAAACATATAAAATCAGTTCATCACAGCTATCTGTAAATCCACTTGACATAAAAGATGATTTAAACATATTTATCTAAATTCAGTCTGTGTCACTCCCTGGTGGTGGAATAGTGAAACTGCAGCTACTCGTTGTGACGATGATTCAGAGGTAGCAAATTAAAGTTTAATGAACAGACTCTACAAAAACAGAATTCACTCTTTGTTTAAAGATTAATTTGCACAATAACGGTCCAAACATTGTTTATTTAAACATTTATGTTTTTCAGAGCTTCTTGCTGCCAGGTTCACATTGATTTGTGAAGCCAAAATGTGACAGTGAATTACCAAATATTTTCACAGTAAAGTTAAAAAGACACAATAATGGATTTTGAAAGAAATATGTTTACCTGGTTAGAAATAAGTGCTGCATAAATGACTGTGAATATTCTCTTCCTGCACTTTCATCACACTTGTCTCTGTACAGTCAGTCACACACACTTGATCTGACTGTCCATCATCACTGTTGACACTCAGTTTGAATGAGGCGTCATTACCTTCTCAATTACATATGATTAATCCCAGAATCTTGATAATCCTGATAATCATTACTACATACAGCATGACTCCTCTTATATATTCTCTCTCTCTCTGTGTAGTCTCGCTCTTTACGACGTCACTGCAGTAAGGCGAGCTCAAGGGCTGAATGGGTTGAAATGTATTTAGTGTGTGTGTTACTGTGTTGTTACAGACAACCTGGTGGCTTAGATAACATTAGATAAAGAGAAATAAGTTAAGTTAAGAGTCAGCAGTTCTGGGAGTTTCCGATTCAGAAATCAGTGCTTAATCGTTTAAGCTGCCGTTATACTTCCTGCATTAGTCATGCTGTACCATTTATGGCATATGCATAAATACGTAGACGCTGCATCGAGCAGGTTGGCCCACCAAATTGGATATGGCAGATCTGCCCTTTATACTAATAACTGTTGTCTTTCTACAAAGTTATTTAGGTTAAAGCCTCTCACTCACACTTTCACACATGCACTAGCAGATTTTTATTAACAGCTTCATTTTCATGATCATTTCTCTTTTTTATTGGTCACAAATTCAGAGAAGTGGCTCTCTGTGTGCACTGCTGAGAAAAAGAAGCTGAATGTATTTCATTACTGCTGTATTTCTGCCTCAAAAGCCTTGAGTGAACCATTGTTTTGATTTGGCACAACATAAATAAAACTAACTTGAATTAAATACAGCTTTACTGAGGACTTCTAACAAGCACTCGGCATGAGGACTGATGAAGAATGATAGGACAGAGAGATTTAAGCTGATTAGGCACTCTTTCTGATAACATCTCCCCTCTTATAAATAAACTCTCCAAGCAGCAGCTATCACTGGCAGAAGACATGAGTTTTTTCACTGTTTGATTTTGTGCAATTATCAGTAAATTTTGTCACCGACTTTGTAATTCACATTTGAGTGACTTAGTTAATTATTCTCTTCTTGAAAGTGAGGAGAAAGTGTCTTTATCCTGTCTTCCTTCTCTCACCCCAACCAATCACAGCAGATGGCCCCGCCCCTCCCTGAGCCTGGTTCTGCCGGAGGTTTCTTCCTGTTAAAAGGGAGTTTTTCCTTCCCACTGTCACCACTGTGCTTGCTCATAGGGGGTCATATGATTGTTGGGTTTTTCTCTGTATGTATTATTGTAGAGTCTTTACCTTACATGTATTAAGCACATTGAGGCGACTGTTGTTTTGATTTGGTGCTGTAGAAATAAAACTAAATTGAACTGAAAAGCTCAACAATACTCTGAACTACACATGAATGAACATGGAGGTATAAAAGTCACCAAATAAATCTTTACAAGAAAAAAAGCACCCAGCAGCTGAGCTGTGGAAAGAAGACTCCACTGATGTTCTGCTTCAAACTGATGTCAGAGAATCTGAGTAAACCCTAACCTTCACAGAACTTCTATATATCAGTATGCAGTCATAATATTTTTCTGTTTCTATTCAAAATTAAAGTCTGGTACATTTTAAGAACACAGGCCTGTATTTGTTATTAATGTAAAATTTGTTATTAATTTAATACAAGTTCTGCTCCCAGTCTGTTGATGTTTCTGCTTTTTAAACTCATGTTTCTCTTTGTTCCTTCTGTCTGTTTATTTCTGTTCCATGATCATTTTGTCTCAAATGGTCACTACTGTTAGCGGTATTTTAATCAGTGAAAATGACAAAAACTAATGTCTTCCAGCCTCGCCCACTGTCAAACTTCACTCCATGACGCCTGTTTCCAGTCAGCATCCTGCCATGTTGGTCTGCAGCGTCTATGACTTCTTTCCCAGTGAGATCAAAGTGAGCTGGCTGAGAGATGGACAGGAGCTCAGCTCTGATGTCACTTCCACTGAGGAGATGGCAGATGGTGATTGGTACTACCAGACCCACTCCCACCTGGAGTACACACCCAGGTGAGTCCACATCAGGTCCAGGAGCGTCATTTCTAATAATGGAAACCAAAAAACTTTTAATGTGAAGTCTGCACTAAAGTTGAAAAGTTTAAGGTCCAAGTCTCTGATCCAAAGTCAGGTTCAGTTTTCTCTGAGAGTCACTGATGTTTGTGTTGAAGGTCTGGAGAGAAGATCTCCTGTGTGGTGGAGCACGCCAGCTTGAAGGAACCTCTGATCACTGACTGGGGTAAATACCTGTCTGTATCTACACACCTGTACACACCTGTCTGTCTGTACACCTGTCTGACTCTCACCTGATTGTACACCTGTGTGACTCAGATCCCTCCTCGTCCATGCCTGAGTCAGAGAGGAACAAGCTCGCCATCGGAGCCTCAGGACTGATCCTGGGTCTGATCTTATCTCTGGCTGGATTCATCTACTACAGGAGGAAGGCCCGAGGTCAGAGCACGACTCTCACTCACAGACCAGTTCATACCTGAAACCAGTTTTAACCATTGCTGCTTTAAAATTCATTTTCAGGCTGTTTCAGACCAGTACTATTTATTCTCAGATCAATTTAAATTTCAGGCTTCATTCAGGTTTCAAACCCAGTTTTTCACTTGTTTCAGAGGATTCTCATGGTTCAGTCCCTGAAACATGAAACATTACTGAATCATTAGTATGATCAGTTTAAATCAGCTTCTGTGATGTATTTTCAGAGTGTGTTGCTGACTGTGTCCTCGTCTTTTATTCTTTCTCCAGGTCGTATCCTGGTTCCCACTAACTGAGACTGGTCCTGGTCCTGTTTGTGTCTGATGTTATAAAAGCTGCTGCTTCCTGTGTTCAGACTGATGATGATGATGATGATGATGATGATGATGATGATCTCTGTCTGGACTCTGATCTTGTGCTGGTGTAGAGCTGATCCAGGACCATCTCAGTGCTGTTGGTGGTTTTTGTGCAGTTGGCATGGTCCTGGATGAGATTTAATGTGGACTCTGCTGTTTGATGCTTTACTGCTTTTGCTGTTCAATCACATGTCATGGAATCCATGTAATATAATCCCTGTAATCCATGTCTATGAGTGACTGTCTTCTCTCTTCTTGCCTGATTCACATTTACAGATTTTTACTGAACATCTTCAAACCAAAATAAATGACTCAGACTCTCAGCTGTGTTTGTTTACCTGCATCAACATGTTAATGTCACACTGCAGCTCTTATTGATGCCACAGATACCAGATTACACAGGTTTAAATGCTGAGAGAGCTCCACTGTCCTGTAGGATGAAACAAGGCTATCCTGGATGGAGTTTGTTGTTTTGAACTTATTGATGTGTTTTTGTGGAGAGCTTTTGGAGGTGACTGATATGATATAAAAGTAAAGAATACATGCAATGTGTGAATTAGTGTCATGCTCTAAGAGGAAAATCTAGATAAATATGAATGTAAAATGTACCACAACATTCTATAAAAAAAATGTTAAGGTTGTTGAGAATGTAGCAGCCTGACTGTTGACAGGCACGCATAAATGTGACCATATTTCCCCAGTCTTAACTTATTATAAAAAAGAGGGATGTGACAAGAAATACATTCATACTTTTAAGCGAAAATGTACCCGACGTGTTGTGGAAATATGACATTTTTTGACGAGTGTGGAAATGGAAGAATTGCATGAATCATGAAGCAAGCAAAGTGAACTGTTTGAAACACAAATGTAACGTAATAATAAGATGATATACACATGGAAAAGTGTATATCTGCGGTCAAAGACCACTGCAAAGAAAATGATAATAATGATGGTAATAACAATGAATGTGGTGAAAAAAGATATAAAAAGGATGTCGTCATATAATCTACATAGTGGGTGTACAGTCGTGGCCAAACGTTTTGAGAATGACACAAATATTAGTTTTCACAAAGTTTGCTGCTAAACTGATTTTAGATTTTTGTTTCAGTTGTTTCTGTGATGTACTGAAATATAATTACAAGCACTTCATACGTTTCAATTACATGACATTTACGCAAAGAGTCAGTATTTGCACTGTTGGCCCTTCTTTCTCAAGACCTCTGCAATTCGACTGGGCATGCTCTCACTCAACTTCTGGGCCAAATCCTGACTGATAGCAACCCAATCTGTTATATTCACTTCTTGGA